GCAGGTGCTAACTCAAGTACTTGTGTCTACCCATGTGGGAGACCTGAATTGAGCTCCAGGCTCCTGGCTTCCACCTGGCCTATCCTTAGCTTTTGTGGGTATCTGGGGAGTGAACAGCGGATGAAAAAAACCTCTCTCTCTCTGTCACTCTGCCTTTCAAATAAATGAAAAGCAAAGTTTACAGAAATTTCAAGTTAGGAAAAAACTAAACCTGCACTTCAATTTTTTTTTGCACCAAAATTAAGTTATCTTAATTCCATTTTTCATGAACTTTTTGAAGTGCGTGCCCATTTCTGCTAACCCTAACCTACCCTGGACCCTTTTGGTAGTTTGGTGAAGCCCATGAACTCCTATGCAAAGTAATGTTTTTAAACTTATAAAATACTTAGAAATACAAATGAAAGACCATTTTAAATGCAATGAACAAATTTTTTTGAAAATATGTTTACTGGGGCTGGTGCTAAGGCACAGCAGGTTAAGCCACAGCCTGCAGTAACAGCGTCCCATTTGGGTGCCTGTTTGAGTCCCTGCTGCTCCACTTCCGGTCCAGCTCCCTGCTAATTGTACCTGGAAAGGCCGCAGAAGTGGCTCAAGTGCTTGGGCCCCTGCACCCACATGCGAGACCCGGGAGAAGCTCCTGGCTTCAGCCTGGCCTAGTCCTGACTGTTGTGGGCATTTGGGGAATGAGTGAATGAATGGAAGATCTCTCTCTGGGCCAGGCTGAAGCCAGGAGCCAGGAATTCCATCCAGGTTTCCCGCGTGGATGGCAGGAACTCAAGTACTTGAACCATCACCTGCTACCTCCCGGGTACATTAGGAAGGAGCTGGATCAGAAGCACAGGAGCCAGGACTCGCACTAACAGTTCCATATTTCAACCCCTCTCAGCCGCAATGACAAACAGTCCCCAAACCCAGATGTTTGATGGAGTGAAAACGTGCTTCTAGGTCGTCACCTTAAGAAGACCTGCAGCAGGTCTAATGAGTGTAATGTCAAACTGGTGGTGCCTACAAATCACGGCTGGAGCAGTCGGCAACAACTCTTGCAGGAAAACACCTGTGGTTGCTGTGGGGACAGGTGCTGCTAATGCTCCTGTGGTTTGTCGACTACAATCCCAGTGGAAGAAAACGCTAACATTCAGTAAAGAGGCTATTGGAAATCGAAACAATTTTTTCCCCATCCAAGTTCATCGGCTGATGGTTGAGAAGCGCGGCTGTGACGTGTTCTGTGTGCCTGGCCGTGTACTAGGCTGCAGGCCCCAAAACCATGTGGAAGCTGGTGCCTCTCTCCAAGCCTCCAGCCTACATGGAGAGAGCTAGGAGTACTAGAGCTCCCATGCTGCAGGGGGGTAGACGTGAGTGCCCCTGCTCAGTCCCCAGCTGAGGACTCTGTCTTGGAGACTTGCCCAGGGTCATGAAGCAACCCGCAGTGCCCACAGCAATTTCTTTCTATTTACTTGAAGGGCAGAGTTATGGGGTGGGGGTGGAAAGAGAGACTTTCCATCTGCTATTTTACTCCCTAAGCGGCCGAAACATCCAGGGCTGGGCCAGGCCAAAGCCAGGAGTCAAGAGCTCCCTCCAGGTCTCCTACGTAGGTTCAGGGGTCCAAGCACCCCAGCCTTCCTTTGCTGATTTGCCAGGGCACACCATCAGGGAGCTGCATCAGAAATGGAGCAGGGGCCGGCACTGTGGCATAGCTGTTAAAGCCGCTGCCTATAGTGCCGGCATCCCATATGGGCTCCAGTTCAAGTCCCGGCTGCTTCACTTCCAATCCAGCTCTCTGCTATGGCCTGGGAAAGCAGTGGAAGATGGCCCAAGTCCTTGGGTCCCTGCACCCGCGTGGGAGACCTGGAAGAAGCTCCTGGCTCCTGATTGGCCCAGCTCCAGCCATTGCTGCCATTTGGGGAGTGAACCAGTGGATGGAAGACCTCTCTCTCTCTCTCTCTCTCTCTGCCTTTAAAATAAATAAATAAATCCTTTAAAAAAAAAAAAAGTGGAGCAGCCAGAACCTGAATGGATGCCCATATGGGATGCTGGCACTGCTGGCCATGGCTTAACTTGCTGCGCCAGAGCTGTCCCCTAAATAAATAATTTTTTAAATGAGGAAAGAGGACCTCTGCTGTTTCCCCTAACTGATGAGACTGGGCACTTTTACCCTCTGTCCCCTACTCCCCAGCAATGGAGCCCAGTGCCTCTGACTGTGCCATTCCCCATCCCCTTTCAGTGTAGGATTCTCACTGGGCCATGCAGCAGGGACAGCAGGACCATCTGCCCATGCTGGGTCACTCTCATAAGGATCCAATCCTCTGAGTGGGTTACAGGAGCCTTCAGCCTGTTTCTGGTACTGCTTTGTTATGACCCTCCTGCATCATGCACCTGTCGTTCAACACCTGTTCCAGAAGCGGGAGGAAGAGGCAGTGTGGGGAGGTGAACAGCAACTCTGGTGGTCCTGAGCCTGAGAAGGGCAACAGGGGCCCCCATCACAGGTGCACAGAATCCTGTGGACCCCCATGGGGAACAGGCAGCACTGGGAGCGGGATGAGGCGGACCCCTGTGACTTGCACCCAGTGGGGCAGCCCCCGTGCCTCCCACTGGGGCCTCCTGGAGGCTCCCACCCTCCATAGCACCACTCGACTGAGCTCTGTTCCTGTGCTTTGTTGAGCCAAGGCCATTTTCCACAGGGGAGATGTTTGGGAGCGGGGAGGGCTTTCCTTGCTCTGCTGGGAACGGATCTAGGATAGAGGAGTTTGCCTCCGGGTAGAGACAGAACGGGCCAGCTCCCCAGTCCCTTCTGTTGCCCTGGATACCTTCTCAGGGGCATCCCAGGATACTCAGTGCTGCAGGCAGTGGAAAGCCACACGACTGGTCAGGCTGTTCTGTTGGTGGCGGCCATTCCTTCTCAGCCTCCTCTTTTCAGTTCTGGGCCACCAGGCCCTGCGCACCCCTCTAGACACCCCTACCCAGCCACGACCTGTGCCTTCCAGTCTCCATGCCTGATCTCTCCTGCCTGCCTCCTGGATACCCCAGCTCATGTGTCCCACCAAGACCTCAAACTCAATGTGTCCTAATCAAAGCACATCACTTTCTTCCCAGCCAACGTTCCTACCCCAGTCAGTGAACCGATCATGTGCCCAGTGGTCCAGGAAGGGAGCCCGGGACTCGTCGCTTCCCCTCCCCTGGCGATTCTACCTCCTTCTGTCTCTTGGGCCCCTCCATTTCTCACCATCCCCACCGCCACCTGCATGGTCCCGCCAGCACCGCTTCTGCTCGCAGACAGCGCAGCTTCCTCCTGGGTCTCCCCTCGTCCTCTCTGCATGCCCCTCTGCAGCCAGGGTGATGTCTCAAACCCCAGATGTGCTCCTGTCTGTCTTCCACGTAAGCCCCTTCGGGTGGTTTCCTGTTGCTCTCCAAGTCCAGAACCTTTCACATGCTCTGCTGGGCTCCCGCCTGGCCTCTTTCCCAGTTCTACTGCATATTCCAGGCCCACTCACTTTTGTTGCTTTGTCTCTCGTCTCTGAAGTTTTGCAACTATGGTTCTGTTTTGCTATAGTGCTACCTCCTTTCCCCATCCTTCAGGTCTGTCACTCCAGGCCATGTGCCCTGCTATGGACTCTGGTGGCATCCTGAGCTTTCCCTAAAAGGCATTGGATTGAAATCAGTTGTTTCAAGTTGGCCTCCCTGGGGGGTGCTCCCCACCCGACCCCATTGGCCATCCTGTTACCTGAAGAAGGCAGCTCCCACCAGGGGGCCCATCTGGACCCTGTCACCCACATCCCCCCCTCCATGCCCAGTCCATCTGCTGCCTCCCTACCAGTAGCACTCCTTCCAGCAACCAGCTAGACTGAAGATGACAGTGATGCAAGCTGTCCTGTGCTTTCTCTGTGAAGCTGAAGGGCCCTGTGGGCTGCCAGACAGGTGCTAGACTGACTTACGGAGGTCAGCACTGTGGTGTAGCAGGGAAAGCTGCCACCTGCAATGCTGACAGCCCATATTGGCACCAGTTCATGTCCTGGCTGCTCCACTTCTGATCCAGCTCCCTGCTAATGGCCTGGGGAAAAGCAGTAGATGATGGCCCAAGTGTTGGGCCCCTGCACCCATGTGGGAGACCCAGATGAAGCTCCTAGTTCCTGGCTTCAGCGTGGCCCAGCACTGGCCATTATGGCCATTTCGGGGGGAAATTAGGGGATGGAAGTTCTGTTAACACATTCAAAATAAATAAATATTAAAAACCTCATGTTATATCTTTCCACTGCCACCCCAGTGTCCTTCATTTGGCCTGATAATAAAAACATACAACCTTTGGGGCCAGCATTTTGACACAGCAATTAAAGGGCATCCCATGTGGGTGCTGGTTTGAGTCCCAGCTGCTCCACTTCTGATCCAGCTCCCTTGCCAGTAAGTCTGGGAAAGCAGTGGAAGAGGGCCCAAGTGCTTGGGCACCTGAATCCATGTGGGAGACCAAGCTCCTGGCTCTGGCCTGGCATCTGCCTCAGCCATTGTGGCCATTTGAATGGAAGATCTCCCTCTCTGTCTCTCCCTCTTTCAAACAAATAAACTTTAAAAAAGAAAAAAATATATAACCTTGAATGACTATAAATGAGGCAAAAAGGAGAAATGCTTCAGAGGATGTGTAAAAACCAAACCACTCATAAACCCAGTCACTAAGTTCATTCTTCCAGCAAGGGAAAAAAATACCTGCCAACTTTTACCAACTTAAAACAAAGTTTTAAATGTATTTTCTTTTATTTGAAAGGCAGAGAGACAGCTGGGGCGGGACGAGGCCGAAGTCAGGAGCCAGGAATTCTATCCAGGTCTCCCTCATGAGTGGCAGGGGAGCCATTGCATGCTGCCTCCGAGGGTGTGCAACAGCAGGAAGCTGGAATTGGAAGCAGAGCCAGGGCCTGACGCCAGGCACTCCAGTATGGACCACAGGTATCCCAGGTAGCTTCTTAGCTGCTGTGCCAAATGCCTGTCCCAAGCTTTACTCATTTTATCGTCCATAATTGTATTTTTTCATCACGTTTATTGAGTATATAGTAGGTGCCGGGCATGGTGCATGGTGTTAGGTTATTAGTCTTGGGTGTTGTTGTAAATGGTTTAAAGTTTGTAGAACTCAGGCATACAAAGTGGAGGTCATCATTATCTGCAGTTTACAGCATGTTTTTTGGTTTTTTTTAAAGATTTACCTTTTTTTTTTTGACAGAGGTTTTTTTTTTTTTTAATTTGACAGAGTTAGACAGTGAGAGAGAGACAGAGAGAAAGGTCCTCCCTCTGTTGGTTCACTCCCCAAATGGCCACTATGGCTGGTGCTGTGCTGACCCGAAGCCAGGAGCCAGGTGCTTCTTCCTGGTCTCCCATGTGGGTGCAGGGGCACAGGCACCTGGCCATCCTCCATTGCCCTCCTGGGCCACAGCAGAGAGCGAGACTGGAAGAGGAGCAACCAGGACTAGAACCTGGTGCCCATATGGGATACTGTCACCGCAGGTGGAGGATTAACCAAGTAAGCCACAGCGCCGGCCCCCAAGATCTACTTATCGATTTCAAAGGTAGAGTACAGAGGCAGAGCAGACCGTCCATCCACTGGTTCACTCTCCAGTGGCCCCAATAGCCAGGCTGAAGCCAAAAGACTGGAACTCCATCCAGGTCTCTCCAGCCCCAAGGAGCAGGGTCTCCCGGCTGTAACTTACAAAGAGTGAGACCCTAGGCAACTTCACTAACTTTGATTCTCCCTTTGTTAAAGAGAGGGTGGTCAAGTATCTTTGCTGACCTTTTGTGAGAATTCAGTGAAATACACACAAAATAGCTAGCACCTGCCTGGCTTGTGGTGCTATATACAGCTATTATTTTCAATTCTTTCAGACCATAAGCTTCCTGGGAACAGCGAGGCTGTCAGCGAACATGAAGGGAAGGAAGAGGTAGCGCTCCAGTGCCCTAAGGCTCTGATCCAGGGGTGAGGGTGCCATGCGAACCACTTTTATCAGCAAGGGGGCTGCTACAATGAGCAGAAGCAGCTACTGGGAATATGGAGCTCAGGGGCCAGCACCACACTGGCTGCAGGAAACCTTGTCAAGGAAACGTCTGCAGAATTCCTTATGCTCAGCACAGCTCAGCGTTTTAGCAGGACAACAGGAAGCTTCTGTTTTCCAGATGAGCATACGAGGTCCCAGGGCTGAGCTGTACCTTGTGTGGCCCTGGCCCCATCCTCGAACCCCCAGGGGTGAGGAAAGGGGACATAAAGCACGGCTCGGAGCCCAGAGGAGGCAACTGGGGCGCAATATGGCTGCTGCTTATGGGGGAAACCAGGGGCAGCCTGGGGAACCCCTCCCTGCACCCTGACTTCCCACTGCAGGCTCCCTCCTCTGAGCCACATGCCCTGCACATCAGAGCAGAAACAGGTGGAGTCTCATCAAGTCCCCTGGGATGTGGCTGGCACCGTGGTCCTTGTCTGTCCGAGATCCTTCTGGAAACACAGCTGCCCCTGAAGGGGTGGTGGCATGGAGAGCAGAGCAGCAGACCCTCAGGGGACGGCCAAATCATGAGGCCTGGTGAGCCTCCCTCAGCGGCTTCCTTCCTGGGTCCAGTTTCGGGCATTGATGAAGAGCTGGAGCCAGGGGGAGGTGGTCAGGGTGTCAAACGGAGGGGGCCGCCAAGCCCACTGCCACGGCCTCACAGCCCGCTCGGGGTGAGGCATGAGAGCCAGGTGGCGCCCATCACGGGAGCAGATGCCAGCCACGCCCCCTGGAGACCCGTTGGGATTCAGAGGGTACTGTTCCGTCGGGTTCCCATCGTCGTCTGCCCAGTGCAGTGGGGCCAAGCCCCGGGACTCAATCTGGGCTTGGAGTTCAGGAGAAGAAAATGCCATGTAGCCTGGGAGGAAGGAGAGGAGGAGAGTCAGGCCCCTTCATGCCCTCCATCCAGCCCCTGCCCCGGGACCCTGCCCATGGCTCGCCCCAGCCTGACCTTCCCCGTGGGCGCTCCACACAGGCAACACGGCACCCTCCATTCCTCGCAGCATCACAGATGGCCCAGGACCCACGCGAATGCTGGTCCAGCGAGACTCAAAACGCCCGGACAGGTTGTGGCGCAGCAGGAGGCCGGGCTGGGCTGGCCAGGAGTCATGGCCTGCCTCCTCCTCCTTCTCGGGGTCGCCTCCCACCCAGCCCAGCAGAGCCAGCAGCTGACAGCCGTTACACACGCCCAGGCTGAAGGTATCTGGCCGCTTCCGGAAGCGCCTCAGCTCACCTCCAGCCTGTGGATTAAAGGTCACAGCCGCAGCCCATCCTAGGAGCGAACAGGGAAGTCCAGTGAGAGGTGGAAGGCCTCGGAAAAGGGGAAGCCGGAGATGCAGGGGACAGCCGCTGCACTCTCCCAGCAAGCACTGCCCCTCTGCAGAGCAGGGGTAAAGTCAGGGAAAGAAATGAGTTCTTCTGTCTGCATCAGATGTTTCCAACTCCTGGCCACAGGTGGCCCATGCATTTTTTTGCTGCCAAGAACATTTTCAAAAATTTTTGTTTAGTTGCCTAACATTTAAATGAAAGAATTCAGGGCTGGCATTGTGGCACTGCAGGTAAAGCTGCTGCCTGTGATGCCGCATCCAATCGGGCACTGATTTGTGTCCCGGTTGCTCCATTTCCAATCCAGCTCCCTGCTTTCCCCAAGGAAACAGCAGATAATGGTCCATGTGGGAGATTTAGATGAAGCTCCTGGATTAGCCCTGGACACTGTGGCCACTTGGGGAGCAAAGCAGTGAATGGAAGACCTCTGTCTATCTCTCCCTCCCTCTCTGTACCTGATTTTCAAGTAAATAAGTAAATTTTTAAAAAAATTAAAAAAAAAATAAAAGAATTCAAGGATAGGAGCTGGCATCTCACGTGGGCGTCGGATGGAGTCCTGACTACTCTACTTCTGATCTGTCTTCCTGCTAATGCACTTGGGAAGGCAGTGGAAGATGGTCAAGTGCTTGGGCCCCTGCACCCACGTGGGAGACCTAGATGGAGTTTCTGGCTCCTGGCTTTGGCCTAGTCCAGCCCCAGCTGTTGCAGCCATTGGGGAGTAAACCAGCAAAAGGAAGAGCTCTGTCTCTGTCTCTCCCTTTGTCTCTGTAACTCTGACTTCCAAATAAATAAATAAATCTTAAAGAATAAGAAAGAAAAAGAGTTCAGAGGTGGACATATATCTACCTGAGCACCTGGGTTTAATACCTGGCTCTGGTTCCTGACTCAAGCGTCCTTTTTTTAATTTTTTTTTTTTCCTTTTTTGTAGAGAAAGGTCTTCCCTCTGTTGGTTCACCCCCCAAATGGCTGCTATGGCCGGCGCACCGCACTGATTCGAAGCCAGAAGCCAGGTGCTTCCTCCTGGTCTCCCAAGCAGGTGCAGGGCCCAAGCATTTGGGCCATCCTCCACTGCACTCCCGGGCCACAGCAGAGAGCTGCACTGGAAGAGGAGTGACCGGGACAGAATCCAGCGCCCCGACTGGGACTAGAACCCGGGGTGCCGGCGCCGCAAGTGGAGGATTAGCCTAGTGAGCCACGGTACGGCCTCAAGCTTCCTTCTAATGCAGATCCTGAGAGGGAGTAGTGATGGCTCAAGTGACTGGGTCCCCACCGCCCACGTGAGAGGCCTGGATTGAGTTCCTGGCTCCTGGCTCCACGGCCCAGCCCTGTTCATTGTGGCCATTTGTGGAATGAATCAGCCATAGAAGACATCTCCCTCCCTCCCTCCTTCTCTAACTCTGCCTAATTCTGATGTCAGGGTTGGGCGTTTGGGGATTTGGGGGAGCAGCTGAGATGCTGTTTGTTATGCTCACAACCCACATCGGAATGACCTGCGTTCTAGTCCCAGCTCCAATCCCAATTCCAGCTGCCTGCTAATGTGCATGCCAGCGGCAACATGGTGGTGGCTCACGTACTTGGGTTCCTGACACTCATGTGGATTCAGTTCCTACTCTTGGCATCAGGCTGGCCCAGCCTCTGCTGTTTTGGATATGTGGGGAATAAACCATTGGGGATGGAAGGTCTCTGTCTGTCTCACAAATAAAGTGAAATAAATAAATAAATAAACAGAATATAAACTAAGATTTCAGGTAAAAATCTAAATTTGTGGCTTCTTTAGAAAAATGGAAGGCGCTGGCAATATGGAGCCACCTTCCAACAGGACGGTGTGGCAGAGCTGGGCAGCAGCAGCCCCTCGACATATGCCATCTGGGTTGGCACAGCCCCACTCTGCCCAGCTGCCTCATTTCCCTTCCCTCCAGGTATTCTGTGGGCAGCAGTCCCAGAACCCATTCCCCAGCCCAGAAGATGGACGTTAAGGGCAACTCTCCCAGAATATGCGGGGAGGGAGGGAGCAGAAGCCGGCACACCCACCTTTGCCAGAGCCCAGGACGTCTGCGTAGCTGAAGCCGCCCACGAAGGCCACACCACGGAACGTGTCCAGCCCGATGGCCCCAGAGCAGAGGTCCTGCATGGTCACATCCCACACCTGGCAGGATGTGGCAATGTTGGAGAAGGCACAGTCCGAGGCTGGATCACACCCCCAGGCCTGCCCAGCTGCCCTGCTCACCTCAAACCCAGCCAAGTGGAAGGCATCAGCCATCTCCCGGTCCCCATTACTGCCCTCTTCTCGAAGGATGGCAACTCGGGGCGCAGGGCCTCCTGGCAGGAGGAGGAGTGTCTCTGGGCTGCCCTGACTCCCCAGACCCCTTCCCCAGGGTAGGCCCAGCACCCAGGCTTGGGCTCCACCCCTCAGGCCAAACCTCTGCACACATTTCCTCACCAGGTTCACGGGGCACAGAGACTTTGGGAAAGGTGGGGGGCAGGCAGTAGCTGGGCCCTGTCCTCTCCCTCAGGCCCTGTTCCTCCTCTGCCACACAGCGTGGCTCCGCCTGCAGCCGGTCCAGCTGGAAGCTCGTCTCCTCCCACAGGGCTCGCAGCTGCCCCACAGGCTCTTCCAGAACCACAGATCCGTTCACCGACACGCGGACCTAGGGACAGGCAAATAGATCAAGGGCGAGGAGAAAGGATGGCCCCCACCACGGCAGGCAGAGCGAACCATGGCCTCCCCACTGTGTGCTACTCTCCGCCTCTTGCTTCCTCACCGTGGCGTGGGGCCCGGCCTCGCCTGTGCGGCCCAGCTCCAGGCACTGCAGGCCAGCACCCCGGAAACGCTGCAGCACGGAAGCCAGGTGTGCCTCCTGCACTTCCAGCACCAGGCCCGGCTCCTCAGCAAACAGCACCGGCAACACTGAGAAAACAGTGGGGGAAGAGTCAGTGAGATACAGCCCAGGGAGATGGCAGGGGTAGGGGTGGGGTGAGGGCTAGAGCAACGGTGTCACATCGGGGACCACGGGAGGTCTCAGAGGCACGCAGACAGGAACACAGTGGGTGCCACCCGGTTCAGCTGTCAGAGAAGACAGCACGGGATGCAGAGTCCGGAAGACTCAGAAAAGGGGCTGGGGGGGACCAGCACTGTAACGTAGCGGTAAAGCCGCCATCTGCAGTGCTGGCATCCCATAAGGGCGCTGGTTCAAGTCCCAGCTGCTCCACTTCTGATCCAGCTCCCTGCTATGGCCTGGGAAAGCAGTGGAAGATGGCCCAAGTGCTTGGGCTCCTGCACCCATGTGGGGGACTGGGAAGAAGCTCTTGGCTCCTGGCTTTGGATCAGCACAGCTCTGGCCATTGTGGCCATCTGGGGAGTGAACCAGTGGATGGAAGACCTTCCTCTCTCTCTCTCTCTCTCTCTCTCTCTCTCATTCTCTCTCTCTGCCTCCCCTTCTCTCTCTGTGTAACTCTTTCAAGTAAATAAATAAATCTTAAAAAAAAAAAGAAAAAGAAAAGGGGCCGGGGAACCCCCCCTCTTCAGCAGGGGATGAGGTCCACAGGGTGGGGAAGGCAGCTCCTCACCGTCGGCCCCAGGGGCAGGCACATCGACCTCTATCCCACAGTTGCCAGCGAAGGCCATCTCCAGCAGGCAGGTGACGAGGCCTCCATCGCTGACGTCATGGCCTGAGCAGAGCAGGCGGTCTGCAGGAAGAACAACGTTCAGCAACCTTGGGTCGCACATCCCACGGTGCCACCTCGTCTCCCGGAGGTCGGCCGAGTACATGAGGACCAGCAGACAGCACAGAATCAGGAGGCCGCCAAGCCCCCCGCCCCATGCCTGGCCCCCCAGATGTCCCTTCCCCCAGGGCCTCGCTCACCTTTCAGCAGCCCCTGGGTGATGCAGAAAGCACGCACCAAGTTCTCAGGAAGGTCCAGGTCAGGAGGCTGATCCCCGAGCTGGGAGAAGCACTGGGCCAGGGCAGTGCCCCCCAGCCGGTGCCGCCCAGGGCTCAGGGGCACGTAGAGCACACGGCCTGGGGAGACGGTGGAGTGGGGAGGGGACATGGACAGGTCAGCTGTGGGCCAACATGTGACGTGCTCACAGCACTGCCATTTCCAGCACGTGTGAGATCCCCCAGGCCACCAGTCCCAGAAAGCGCCACAGCCCAGAGCCCAGACAAGGGGCTCTGGGCCTCACAGCACACAAGGACAAACCAAGGACCAAGCTCAGAACACACAAAGCCATACCTGCCCCTCCAGGATGCTTGAGGTCTGGGGTCACGGTGGCTGTGATGTCTGGACAGACAGCATAGGCCGAGATGACCAGCGACCCTGCCCAGCGAGGAGTCATAATCAGTGAGTGCCACAGCAGCCCTGCACCACGGCTCCTCCCCTTCTTGCCAGGGCCCCCAGCCTCACCAGGAGCCCGCACAGTCTCAGTGCCGACTCGGGCAGCCATGCTGAGAGAGTCCTTGCCACCGTCCACTGCCACACCCAGGGTCGCCATCATGGCCACCATAGCCTCACAGGCATCAGCCAGAGCTGCACCCTCCCCAGGGAGCTTGGCTGCCCACATCCAGTTCCCACTGCACTTCACGTCCTGAGTGAGAGCAGCAGAGATGGGGGCATTAGAAGGGAGGGGGGAGGTGGAGCACCTGGGGGATGTCCAGGGATGGGGAGGTTATAAGCAGAAAAAGAAAGGACAAGAGGGCGAGTGTGTGGGGCATGTAGAAGGGGCCCAAAGCCTGGGGCAACAGGGTGGAAGGTGCAGGCACCTACCCGGAGGTCGGTGACCAGAGCAAACACCAGGTTGGTGAGGGCTTCAGCCACAGCCAGGCGGGCGGCGACCTTGGGGTCCAGCAGGCTCTTGATTGGCTGCTCTCCCAGGGCTGTGGCGGCCCCTACAAGCTCCTGGTGACTCAGTGCCACCACTGCTACGTCTGCCAGGGGAGTCTGCAGAGGCCCCACACACTGCTGCTGGGCCACCAGGCCTCCCACGGAGCGGTCCACCTATAGAACCAGGTGGGCTTGGTGAGGGCACAAGGGACAGGGACACAGGACTCTGCGGGCCTGGCTTCTCCCAGCATCAGACAAGAGCTCTACATGGAGTCAGAGCAGACAGGTGGGAAACCAGGACATCAGTTGGCCGCCCTGCCCCTGCCACTTCCCCCCAGGGCATGGAACATTCCCACTGTCCTCAGTGGCTGGCGGCAGGGTGTGAGTGGGGGGAAGGGAGCAGAGTCAGGGTGCAGCAAGGACCTTGTTGGTGAGGTAGCGCTTGCTGGCCACTGCAGGCAGCCTCAGAACCCGCTCCAGAGCCTGGCGCACACTCAGTCCTGGGGGCAAGGCCAGGGGCTGCAGCACAGGGGGTTCCCTCTGGAGGATGAACTTCTGCAACACAGATGGCAACAGGAGTGAGAGCCCAGGGCGGGTAACACACGGATGTCAGGTGGTCTGCGGACGGCCACAGAAGGAGAGATGCACCCTCCCAACCCCATTTCACATACCTTCTGAGGCATCTTGCCCAGCACCCAGTCGAGCTCCAGGTCCACGGGGGTTGGGGGAGCATCCCCCTGGCCATTTCCTCCCAGAGGACACTGGCGATCATCCACCAGCACAATCTACAGACCACAGGGACACCACCCAGAGGGACGAGGCTGTGAACTCCAGTGCTTTCCACCCGTTGTGGCCTCCCCATGAGTCCCTCCCTTCCCCTCCTGTCTATATCCTGTTCCCCACACCTTGTTCACCACAGGCTCCTACCCTCCCCTTGTCTCTCCCTTGCCTGTTCTCCCTGTGGCCACACCCAGGCAGACCAAGCCTGCCGGTCCATGCCCACTCCAGAGTCCCTGGGCCAACTCACCCTCCTGTCTCCAGTGATGGTGCCCACGAAGCTAGCCGGGCAGCGCTCCCGCACACTGACGCGAGTCAGGAAGTCCCGGTGCAGGGGCCTTAGCAACAGCGCGTTTGACTCCTGGTACTCAGCCCCCCAGATTTCCAGGGCATTCAGGGTGGGGTCCCCCAGCTGCACAGCCACAGCGGGGAGGAAGAGAGAAGGTGCTCCTGGGTCTCATGTTGCTGGCAGGAGCACAGGGGGACCGGCTGGGGTGGGCGGGGGCACCGCCAGGCTCTAGGGCTGAGACCCACCTGGAAGCGGCTGGTGTAAATGATGGCTCCCGCTGGCTCGCTCAGCTCCTTCAGGACGTTGCCTGTTGAGAGGGGTGCAGGGAGAAGTGGCCATCTGGTCACGGCGGCTCCAGGTGAACAACCAGGTGAACAAATGGCATGCCCCAGCCTCCAGGAGCCTCTAGTTCTGTGTGTCCCTGCATGAGCCACAGCTGCACCCTCCCCACCAACTGTCCACGACAGAAGGCCTCCACTGGGGCCGGTGCTGTGGCTTAGCGGGTAAAGCCACTGCCTGCAGTGCCAGCATCCCATATGGGCACCAGTTCAAGACCTGGCAGCTCCACTTCTGATCCAGCTCTCTGCTACAGCCTGGGAAAGCAGTAGAAGATGGCCCAAGTCCTTGGGCCACTGCACCCGCGTGGGAGACCCAGAGGAAGCTCTTGGCTCCTGGCTTCGGATCGGCGCAGTGGCCAATTGGGGAGTGAACCAGCAAATGGAAGACCCACATCCCACCCTGCCTCTCCTTCTCTCTCTGTGTAACTCTGACTTTCAAAGTAAATAAATAAGTCTTTTAAAAAAATAAATAAAAGAAGGCCTCCACCACCCCAACCTTGAACCCGGTTGGAATGCACAAGGGCTGAATATGGGACCCAGGTCTAAACAGTTGGTCACAGATTTTCAAGGCCTCTCCCTAAACCAAATCTAGCAAGAGAGCAGGGAGGCCTGGCCCCTTGTCCTAATCCCTTTCCTCACCATTGCCACCAGCACCCTGGTCATGGAGGCTGCAGATGGGGTTCCTCGTGGGGGCCTCCACACAAGCTCGGATCACGCGATTCATCTTCTGTTCCATCTCCGGGTCTCCCCGCTGCACTGCTCCATAGTCCAGCTCGCTGGCATTATCTCCCTGCACCTGGGGGACATCAGGCTCGGCTCAGTTCAGGGAGGCTGGGAGCTACCAAGTCCACCCACCTGTGCCCGGGGCACTCACCTGCACCGACGAAGCTGCTCCACCCCCAACTCCAATCCTGTAGACAGGACCCCCCACCTTTACAACCTCCATGCCTGTGAGGAAGGAGGGCAGAATCAGAACATGGGGCAGCCACCAAAAGAGGCCTCTAAAGCAAGGCAGCGTGGGGCATGCGTTTGGCCCAGAGCTTAAGGCACCTGGATCCTACATTGCAGGGCCTGGGTCTGAGTCCCAGCTCTGTCCGTGATTTCAGCTTCCTGCACCCTGGCAAGCAGCAGGAAACTGAAGTAGTTGGGCCCCTGCTGCCTACATGGGAGACCTGGATTGGGTTCCTGACTTCCAGTTTGGAAGCTGCAGGCATTTGGAAAGTAAACCAGCAGATGGGATTTTTTATTTTTCTGTATGTCTCTCAAAATAAATTAATGTTTAGAAATTTAAAGGAAGGCAATATAAGGAGAAAGGAAGTTAGTATATGGCAGCAGGTGACTTAATTAAGAGTTCACCGGGCTGATGGGAGAGTAAACTGGTACCTCTCTGGAGGACAACGTTCTGTCAATCAAATCACAAATGCATACATCCTTTGACAGGGTAAATACACTCAGAGGAATCCATCCTACATATTTATAAATAAATACACATACAAAGTCAACTATGTAGGAGCTAAAAACTGCAGTATTACTTGTATTAATAACCAAAGTCAGGAAATAATCTACACGTTGAGAAAGAACTAATTATGGTATGTCCATACAGTGAAACACCAAGTTACCAGAAAAGAGAATTACATATGAATGTGATGAAGTATAGGATTCTATCAATCCGAAGCAATTGCCAAGATACTGTATTACATAGAGAAAACAAGGTGCAAAAAAGAACATTTAGGAATAAATTCAACAATAGAAATACAGACTTACACACTAACAACTACAAAACATCTTATAGGACCTACACAAGAGGCAAACATTGTAGCTCAGCAGGTTAACTGCTGCCTGCAGTGTCAGCATCCCATATGGGCACTGGTTCGAGTCCTGGCTGTTCCACTTCCAATCCAGCTCCCTATTAATGCACCTGGGAAACTAGCGGAAAAGGCCCAAGTCATTGGCCCCGTCACCCACATGTGAGACCAGGCTGGAGTTCCTGGCTTGTAGCCACTTGGAAAGCAAACCAGTGGATAGAAGATCTCGACCTCGCTCGCTCTCCCTCTCTCTCTGTAAGTCTGCCTTTCAAATAAATAATGATTAAAAAAAAAAAGACTTATACAAATAGAAAGACACCTTACCTTCATAGAATGAAAAACAATATTGTTAAAATATTGGTAAGACAGCAATACTCTCCTAATTGACCCGCAAATTTAATGCAACCTTTATCAAAATTTAGGTTGCTTTTTTTTTTTTTTTTTTTTTCAGGAATTGATGGGCCGGCGCCGTGGCTCAATAGGTAATCCTCCGCCTGCGGCGCGGGCACACTGAGTTCTAGTCCCGGTCGGGTTGCCGGATTCTGTCCCGGTTGCCCCTCTTCCAGGCCAGCTCTCTGCTGTGGCCAGGGAGTGCAGTGGAGGATGGCCCAAGTGCTTGGGCCCTGCACCCCATGGGAGACCAGGAGAAGCACCTGGCTCCTGGCTCCTGATCAGTGCGATGCGCCAGCCGCAGCACACCAGCCACAGCGGCCATTGGAGGGTGAACCAACGGCAAAGGAAGACCTTTCTCTCTCTCTCTCTCTCTCTCTGTCCACTCTGCCTGTCAAAAAACTTAAAAAAAAAAAAAGAAATTGATAAACTGATCCTAAAAATGACATGGAAATGTAAGGGACCTAAAAAGTCAAAACAATCTTTCTTTCTTTTTTCTTTTTTTTTTTTTTTTGGCAGGCAGAGTTAGACAGTGAGAGAGAAAGGTCTTCCTTCCATTGGTTCACCCCTAAATGGCTGCTGTGGCCTGTGCACTGCGACAATCCAAAGCTAGGAGCCAGGTGCTTCTCCTGGTCTCCCATGCGGGTGCAGGGCCCAAGCACCCAGGCCATCCTCCACTGCACTCCCAGGCCACAGAAGAGAGTTGGCCTGGAAGAGGGGCAACCGGGACAGAATACGGCGCCCCAACCGGGACTAGAACCCGGAATGCCAGTGCCACAGGCGGAGGATTAGCCCTGTGAGCCACGGCGCCAGCCTAGTCTTTCTACTTCTAAGTTACTAAATGGGGCCGGCGCTGTGGCGTAGAAGGTAAAGCTGCCACCTGCAGTGCTAACATCCCATATGGGTGCTGGTTCGAGACCCAGCTGCTCCGCTTCTGAGCCAGCTCTCTGCTATCACCTAGTAAAGTAGCAGAAGATGGGCCAAGTGGTTGGGCCCCTGCACCCATGTAAGAAACCCAGAAGCATCTCCTGGCTCCTGGCTTCAGATCAGCCCAGCTCCAGCCATTGTGGCCATCTGGGGAGTAAACCAGCAGATGGAAGACCTCTCTCTGCCTCTCTGTAACTCTGCCTTTCAAATAAGTAAATGAATTTAAAAACACACACACACATACACACACAAGGAAACACCACCCCCCTATTTGCTATCATATCTATAATCAAAAGGATAAATAATAAGGTGTGTCATTAAGGATGTGGAGAAACTGGAATCCTCACACGGGGAGTGGGATTAGAAAACGGTAGAGCCACTCTGGAAAACAGCCTGGCAGTTTCTTGGGAAGTTCTCACATGACCCAGCAATTCCACTCACAGTTAGATACTCATGTTTGTGAGGACATACGTCCACACACACACTTGTACTCGAATGTTCATAGCAGCATTATTCCCAAAAACCAAAACACACACGAATGAATAATAAAGTAAGACATATCTATATAATGGGATATTATGTAGCCCCAGAAGGAATGACGTAGGGTGGGCATTTGCCGTTTGGTGCTGTGGCCCACATTAGAGTGCCTAGGTTTGAGTCCCTGCTCCTTGCACATGTGCACTCAAGGAGGTGGGTCCTTGCCACTCATGGGAGACCTGGACCACTTTCCAGTTCCTGGCTCTGATCACTGTGGACATTTGGGGAGTGAGCCAGCAGATGAGAGCTTTCTGCCTGTCTGCCCTTCAAACAGAAAAATTAAAAAAGAAAACAGTTAAAAAGTGGGGGATAGAGTGGTATTAGGTACAGTGGTTAAAATGCTGTTGAGATGCCACGTCCCATGTCAGGGTGCCTGGGTTCTAGTCCTGGGTTCAAGTCCCGGCTCTACATCTGATTCCAGCTTCCAGGTGGTATACACCTGGGAAGCAGTAGGCGATGGCTCCAGTGCTTGGGCCCCTGACACCACACGGAAGACCCAGACTGAGGTCTAGAACCCTGGCTTCAACCTGGTCAAGCCAGTACTGTGGGCCTTTCAGGAATGAAACAGTTAATGGAAAACCTTTGTTTCTCAAGTAAATAAAAATAAATTTTACATACACACACACACACACACATATATATATTAAAAGAGGTTCATCATTGAAGTCCAATTTAAAAAAAAAAAAAAAGGCACCAGTTCATGTCCTGGCTGGTCCACTTTCAATCCAGCTCACTGCTAATGGCCTAGGAAAAACAGCAGAAAATGGCCCAATTGCTTGGGTGCCTGGCACTCACGTGGGAAATTCAGATGAAGCTCCTGGCTCCTGGCTTTGGTCTGGCTCAGCACTGGCTGCTGAGGCTATCTGGGGAGTGAACCAGTAGATGGAAAATCTCTCTCTCTCTCTCTCTCTGTCCCCCCTCTCTGTAATTCTGAGTTTCAAAATCAGTAATAAGTCTTAAAACAAAACAAAACAAAAAGGAATGTCAGGGCCTGGTGTTATTGTGCAGTGGGTTAAGCATTTACTTGCAACACTGGTATCCCATATACTAGTGCTGGTTCAAGTCCCAGTTGCTCTGCTTCTGATTCAGGTGTCCCAAGTACTTGGGCCCCTGTCCTCCATGTGGGAGACTAGGATGGAGTTTCTGGCTCCTGGCCTCACCCTAGGCCAGACCTGGATGTTGCAGCCATTTAGGGAGTAAACCAGTAGATAGATCTTTCTGTCTCTCCCTCTTTCTGTTGCTTTGCCTTTCAAACAAAATCAATACACCTTCTAAAAATTTTTTTTTATTTTTATTTTTTTGATAGGCAGAGTGGACAGTGAGAGAGAGAGACAGAGAGAAAAGTCTTCCTTTTTTCCATTGGTTCACCCTCCAAGTGGCCAAGGCCGGCACACTGCGGCCGGTGCAATGCGCCGATCTGAAGCCAGGAGCCAGGTGCTTCCTCCTGGTCTCCCATGCAGGTGCAGGGCCCAAGCACCCGGGCCATCCTCCACTGCACTCCCAGGCCACAGCAGAGAGCTGGACTGGAAGAGGAGCAACTGGGACAGAATACGGCGCCCCAACAGGGACTAGAACCCGGGATGCTGGCGCCACAGGCGGAGGATTAGCCTAGTGAGCCACGGCGGCGGCCTCTAAAAATTTTTTTAAAAAGGAATTAAGTAGTGATACATACTGCAATATGAATGAACCTTGAAAACATGATGCTACAGGGCTGGCGCCATGGCTCATTTGGTTAATCCTCCGCCTGCGGCGCTGGCATCCCATATGGGCACCAGGTTCTAGTCCCGGTTGCTCCGCTTCCAGTCCAGCTCTCTGCTGTGGCCCGGGAGGGCAGTGAAGAATGGCCCAAGTGCTTGGGCCCCTGTACCCGCATGGGAGACCAGGAAGAAGCACTTGGCTCCAGGTTTTGGATCCGCGCAGCGCCGGCCGTGGTGGCCATTTGCGGGGTGAACCAACGGAAGGAAGACCTTTCTCTCTCTCTCTGTCTATAACTCTACCTGTCAAATAAATTAAAAACATGATGCTAAGTGAAAGAAACCAAACACAAAAGGCTGCATATTGACCTCCCCTTTGTATGTGATGTCTAGAACAAGTAAACCCACAGAAACAGGAAGTGGATGAGTGGCTGCCAGAGGCTAGGAGATGGGGAGTGACACCACACAGGTACACAGCTCCTTCCTAGGCTGACAAAAATGTTCTGGAATCAGCGGTGAGCAATGCACAGCTCAGTGAACAGCCGACCACCACGGACTTGTACATGTTCAAAGGGTGAACTTTATGGTGCACAACTTACATCTCAACAAAGCGGTTATTTAAATAACACATACACTATGCCATGTATTTAATATACACATGAACACCTATCCAAGGTGTTTCCTTCTCTAGGGAGGGAACCGGGTGGCTGGAGGCCAGGGGATGAACAGTATTTGCTGTATAACGTTTTTTACCTTTAGAATTTTAAGCCTTGTGACTGGGTCACCTATTCCATAGATGGCACCTTGACTTTATCTCGATTCTATCACAGCACTTAGCACAGTGCCCAGCATACAACGGGCACTCAATAAATAAATGTTTGCTTGACTGAAGTGCACTAGCAGGTAATTCAGGGCCCCTGGCACATGGCAGGTACCGAATAAACACTGGCTGCCTTGACTTAGCAGGGTGTGACCCAGAACACAAGGGTGCGGTGAGGAGGGCCCTTGCCATGCACAACCTGGAGGAAACACCAACACAGACTGGCATAAAGCTGGGTCCCGCCTTGACAACTACTGGGCAGAAGAGACACGAGTCAGATTGGAAACTGACCACTCAAGTGTCCCCTAGCTCCCCCTCCTCTGCAGCTGCACTGAGAAAGCTGGCTAGATCAGACGGGGGTTCTTACCTGGCTCTGGAGGCTCCTTGCTCACATGCTCAGCCTCCATGGACCCAATGCCCCCACTAAACATGATAGGCTTGATCCACTCACGCCGCTGGCCATCTGGGAGCTGGAGCCCGAAGGAACGGGCAAAGCCTGGTGCACGGACATCAGAGGGAAGACGGACAGAGACCAGTTACCCAGTTCCCCTAGCACTGACCCAATACCCCTGCCCCTGGGTCACACGCCCCACCCAAGCCCCTCCGAGTTATCCCTCCACACCCCCAGCCTCACCAGCCAGCACTGGTTCCCCAAACTTGTTGCCATAGTCAGATGCCCCGTTACTGGCCTCAATGGCAACCTCCAGGGGCAGGGCAAAGTTCCCAGGATACTGGAAGCTGGAATCCTCCCAGGGTAGACTGTAACCTGGGCAGGAAGGAGAAAGTGGAATGGATGGTAGAGATGGGAGATGGACGAGCCAGCGCCCTCAGGAAAGGTCGAAGCCACCAAGGACTAGCATGTGGTTGGGATTTCAGGAATGGGTAGAGCCTGCTGGGAAGCCCTGGGCTTACCCCTCCTCCCACACCACTCTCCCTTCTGACTCAAGCCAGACTTTTTCCGACTTCCTGAGGAACTGAATTTGGGGCCAGGCGGTGATCATAAGCCCAGCCTGCTCTCATGCTTTCTGACTTGAGTGCCTGCTACTTTCTAGGGACTGTGCTTGTGCAAAGCCAGTCTGGCAAACTTGATCTCTGCAGGCCTACACTCCTTGTGATCACGGCCAGCAATGTAGAGGCCTCCCTCTCAAGGAAAGGCACCCAGGAGACCCTTTAACCTAAGAGGTAAAAGCCATCCACGCCCACTGAGACACGAGTCTGGAAGGAAAGGTGGGTGCAAGAAGGAGATGGGACCTGGGATATGCAGGTTTCCAAAGCAATAACCAGCAGTGCCGGCCACCACATGGGCCCCACGGCCTGTGCACTGGACATCTCGGATCCGGCCCCCAGTGCCTGTGGTAGCACCACTGAAGGGGGCCACCCCTGCAAAGAGAGAGAGCAGAAGAGGTATGGGTGCTGCAGAGACAAGTCCCACCCCAACCACCCCCACGGAAAATCAGAACCCCCAGCTCCTCTATCCCAGACCTCTACCCCACTCCCGATCCCATCTGTCCCTCACCTGTAGGGAAGTTGTGAGTCTCTGCTGTGAAGACGACATGCCTCAGCCCCTGCTGTTGCTGGAAGGGGCTTGGCTGTGTAGGGTCCGCAGGCCGCAGGAAATGGACCTCCTTCCCTCGGATTGCGCTGTGGACACACCCATTCTGACCCTGCTTCCTGCCCTCCCCCAGGCACAGGGCCTCCCCCAGTCTAGGGGACAGCTCACCTGCTGTTGTCACAGAACTTGAGGATATTGTTGGGGTTGGAGGACGCCTGGGTGCTCATAATGGACTCGAACAGCGAGTGTGCCAGCTGCTGCCCGTCCACATGGAGCTGACCTTTGAAGAACCAGTGTCGGCTGTGCTCGCTGAAGGGGTGATGTGGGGAGAGGAAGGCAGGGCGGAAATGGGGTGATCATCGCTCAGTGTCATGTCCTCTCACCAGCATTTAACAACACGAGCTATGGTCAACTCATACTGAGATGACAGATCAAGATATATTCCAAAAAGTCATCATCTTGGACTACCCAGAGTAACAACGAAGCCAAAACCATGATCCAAATGAAGACACCTGGACTTCCAGGGTAGCCCAGACCCTGAAGAACCCAGGCGACCCCAAGGCAAGGGAGAGCCATGAAGGCAGGTTGCTGTGGTCTTCCCTTCCACCCTCTGCGGGCTCAGATGTCAGAAGGACCCCATTCCTCCTCACCTATTGGACTGAGCCAAGTCAAAGGCTTCCACGGTGCTGGGGTTCCGCTGCAGCTCCTGGAAGCGTTTGGTATAAAAATCCAGGTCCCAGGAGTCTAGGGCCAGGCCTAGGAAACAAAGCCCAGAAGGGCTGACGGTGGGACTTGGGCTGCGCAGGCCAAGTCTCAGTCCCTCCTCCAGGGACCCCTGCTCACCTAGCTCCTGGTTGGCCTTCTCCAGAGCACAGCGCCCCTCAGCCAGGATATCGATGGGGCCGTGGAGCGGGGCTGGGATGCTGTCAGGGGAGAAGCTCTTGATGGGGTGGGGGAAGTGCTGCTCCGTCATCCGGTCATGGAGGGTAGCCACAGCAACAGCCTCCACCTCAGCCGAAGGAGGGTGGGTAAACTAGGGGATGGGACACACAGGGAGGCAGGGGGGTGGAAAGTTAAGAATGGAAAGAAACACCCCACCCTCGGCCCTCTAAGTCGCACAGGGATAGCCTACTGCCACCCCATAGGGCACCTCTGCTCAGATTACAAAGGCATGTCCCTTCCAGGCGTGAATCCATGCCGGGAGACACAGGTGAGTGAGGGGAGCAAGGGCTGGGCTTCTGCCCCCTTCACTCCTCAACCAACTACCCTCGTGCAGCGAGCAACCTGCACAACCACACAGGACAGAACTATAGCCAAGAGCTCCTTCCTCTGCTTCTCCTGCTATTTCTCTGGAGTTTAGGACCTAATCACTTATCTCCGGCTCATCTTCTCCTAACTGCCCACTGCCTCACCGAAAGCCGGTAGCGCCGGGTAACCTCCACACGATCCACAGCCCCCAGCCCAGCAGCGTGGCACACGGACACAATGTTGGTGGATGTCGGGGTGGAGAAGTTCAGCCTGAGGAGTACACAAGATGGTTAGGACCTGACAGCTCCCAGCAGCCTCAGCTGGGAAATGGGATTCTGCCCATGGCTATCCAGCTATCTACCTACCACCACTCTCTTAGCATTAGCCTCCAGGCTCAGACTGGGGACAAAAAAAAACCTGCTTTCAAAGGTCACTTCAATTAAACAGTAAGTGTTCTTCTGGCACCAAAACTGCTTTGCTTTCACTGATTTTTAATTCTATCATTGTTTTTTTATTTTTAAGTATATATAAATATATTAAATATATATAAATCTTCTACGCTGTGGCTCTACGCTCTCTTCTGTGGCCTGGGAATGCAGTAGAAGATGGCCCAAGTCCTTGGGACCCACACCCATGTGGGAGATCTGGAAGAAGCTCCTGGCTCCTAATCAGCCCAGCTCCGGCCGTTGTGGCCAATTGGGGATTGAACCAGTGGATGGGAGACCTCTCTCACTCTCTCTGCCTCTCTTTTCTCTCTGTGTGACTCTGACTTTCAAATAAATACATATCTTTTGAAAAAAAAAAAAAAAAAGGTTAAGCCTCTGCCTGCAGAGCCGGCATCCCATACGGGTGCCTAATTCAGTCCCAGCTGCTCCATTTCCCATCCAGCTCCCTGCTAATGTGCCTGAGAAAGCATCAGAAGATGGTCCAAGTGCTTGGGCTCCTGCAACCACATAGGAGACCTGAGAGAAGCTCTTGGCTCCTGGCTTTGGCCTGGCCCAGCCCCACCCATTGTGGCCATTTGGGGGAGTGAACCAACAGACGGAAGATCAATTCTCTTTCTCTCTCTGTATCTCTACCATTCAAATAAACCAATAAATCTTTTTAAAAATTATTAATTTTTCATTTACTTGAAAGGCAGATCAGACAGTGACTAACACAGAGAAAGATCTTCCATCTTCTGGTTCACTCCTTAAATGCCCCTAACAACTAGGACCAGCCAGGTTGAAGCCAGGAGCCTGGAACTCCATCCAGATCTCCCACGTGGGCAGCAGGGACCCAAGGATTTTGTCTATCACTTGTTGCCTCCCAGGGTGTGCACCAGCAGGAAGTTGGAATTCAAAGTGGAGCTTGGGGGCTAGCACTGTGGCACAGCGGGTTAAAGCCCTGGCCTGAGGTGCCGGCTCTAGTCCTGGCTGTTCCTCTTCTGATCCAGCTCTCTGCTATGGCCTGGGAAAGCAGTAGAAGATGGCCCAAGTCCTTGGGCCCCACACCGGTGTGGGAGACCAGGAAGAAGCTCCTGGCTTGGATCTGCACAGCTCTGGCTGTTGTGGTCAATTGGGGAGTGAACCAGCAGATGGAAGACCTCTACCTCTCTCTGTCGTTACCTATCTCTGTAACTCAAATAAATAAAATAAATCTTAAAAAAAAAAAAAGAAAAAGAAAAACAAAGAAAGAAAGTGGAGCTTGGACTTGAACCTATGCACTCAGATACGCGATATGGGCATCTCAAAGGGTGTCTGAACAGCAGTGCCAAACACCTGTGCCTTGGAATGATAAAAAGATGCTTCAGGACCACACACTCACCTGGGCCCGACCTCCAACAGCAGGTCATTGGCGCCGGGGGTGAGCCAGGACTCCTGAGCAACATCATCCAGCAGCAAGGGGCAGCCAAACAGCCACATCAGCTTCTTCATCTCCTTAGCACCTGGGAGGGCCTCGGCTGCAGGCAGACAGGGCAAGGACACCTCAAGACACTGCCCCAGCACTGGGGCACCTCCCCCAAGAATCCAGTACCTGGGCCCACCTGTCCAGTTCACGTTGTAGCACAGCTCAGTTTCCACACCCTGCAGCTCTGCCAGCTTCCCCTGCAGTTTTCTTCGAGTGTGTCCAGAGGCTGCCCCCTCATGGCCAGAGGGCCGGACATAGAAGCGAAGGACCAGGGCCATCTTGGCAGCTGTCCCTGCTGGAGAGATGAGTTGGGTTCTTAAAAAGTAACTTATCTGAAGTTTCAGGGACAGCGGAGGCATTAAGGATGAGGTAGGGAAAGAAACAGGGGCAGATAAACAGAGTAACCTGAAAAATATAGCTGAATATTTTAAATAGCCCCGCCAAATGCGGGCTTTAATAATGTGAGGGGTGGGCAGGTGTGGTGGTGTAGCAGGCTAAGCCATCCCCTGCAACACCAGCATCCCACGTAAGCGCCAGTTTTGAGTCTCGGCTGCTTCACTTCCAATCCACCTCCCTGCTACTGTGCCTGGGGAAGCAGTGGAAGATGGCCCAAGTCCTGGGCCCCTGCACCCACATAGGAGACCCAGACAGAGTTCAAGGCTCCTGGCTTCAGTCTGGCCCAGTCCCAGCTGTTGCAGCCATTTGGGGAGTTATCTCTCTCTCTCTCTCTCTGCCTTTCATATGAATAAATAAATCTTAAAAAAAAAAAAAAAAGTAGTAGTAGTACATGCACACCCTTGACACAAGTTCCTGAAGCACCTGTTTCCTGGGCCCCAGTGTTGGAACATAAGAAGTCCAGGTACACAGAAGGAATGATGTGTATTCATTTCTACACTGCTCTCTGTGTTTCTGTGACAGCTCAGCAGCCTGTGGTCGCTGACACATGTTCTGCCAGTCAACAGGCCCAGAAAGGCTGATACATTTTCTGCTGGGGGACTACTTGCCTGGTGGCCACTACTGTGGAAACCCCCTATAAAAGCCAACTCAGAAACTTTGTTGGCTGTTGCTGCTGCTGCTGCCACCATGCTAGCTAAATAAAGAATGTCCCAGGGTCAGCGCTGTGGCATACTGAGTAAAGCCACCACTTGCAGGGCCGGCATCCCACATGGGCACCAGTTCTAGTCCCGGCTGTTCCACTTCCGATCCAGCTCTCTGCTGTGGCCTTTTTGGAAACCAGTAGAGGATGGCCCAAGTCCTTGGGCCCCTGCACCGGTGTGGGAGATCAGGAAGAAGCTCCTGGCTCCTGGTTTGGATCACCTCAGCTCTGGCCATTGTGGCCACTTGGGGATTGAACCAGCGAATGGAAGATCTCTCTCTCTCCCTCTCTTTCTCTGCTTCTCTGTAGCTCTGCCTTCAAATAAATAAATAAATCTTTACAAAAAAAGAATGTCCCATTGACTCCTGGCTCCACAAGTGTCCTTCCAGCTCCTGGCCCACGCAGCAGGGCTCAGATCCAACATCCAGCTGACATCTTAGGCACAAGACAGAGGCCATTTCTGCCCTCATATAGCTTACCTTGTACTGAGGGATTCAGGCAAGCACCCAGACATTTCATGTCCAGCGAGTTTAAGGCCAAGGAGCTGTGTACCTCCTGGCTGCTATGGTTTGAACATGAGTTGGCTCCCAAATTCACGAAGGATATAATTCCCAAATAAATCAATGGCACTTAAAAAGGTGGAAACAATCCAGTTACGGTGATTACAGGTGGGATCTGTGGAAGAGTCACGGGTGTCTACGAAGCGGTTGGTTACAAAACGTTGAGTTGTGAGAGCGGACATTTAGCCTATAGTCTAAGATGCCTGTACACTTCCCACGTCGGAGGGCTGGATCTGATTCCCTGCTCTGGCTTCCGACTCTAGCTTTTTGGAAATGCAGACCCTGGAAGGCAGCTGTGATGGCTGAACTGATTGGGTTCCTGCAACCCATGTGGGATACTTGGATTGAGTTCCCAGCCGCTGGAGGCATTTGGAGAGTGAACAGGCGGACAGGAGAGCGCTCTGGCTTTAAATAAATAAATAAGAGCCTGAGTCTGGCCCAACTGCTCTCTCCCTCTGCTTCCTGGCTCGACCCCCTCCGCACTCCGCACCACGGCCATCCTCATCAGAGGCCAAAACAACGGCGCTGCCGATCTTGGACTGGAACTTCCAAAACCGTGGGCCAAAACAAACCATTCAGTTTTCCTCCTCAGTTTTCTCATTGTAGTAACGAAAAGCCCCACGCTAAAGTAGCTCTACTCACGTGGAAGCAGCTACCGCTGTCCGGTGAGCCTCGAATCTTGGCGCGCCGGTTACGTCATCCGCGTGCGCCGCAGGCCTCGTGGGGTACGCGGCGACCGTGCGACTACGCCTCGCCCACTTCCTCCCATCGTGGGCGGGGCCGCTGCAGCCTGAGACCGGCTGGTCTTGCACGAAATCGTTCTCGCTGCGTCTTCTAACTCAGGGCTGTGAAACTGGCGGACGTTGAGTTCCGTGGCCGCAGTTCTCCAGTCCCCGTGCATGCTCTGAGTGCGGGGAGCTGCACGAGAGCCTGCGGGACTGTCTCCTTATTCCTTCTCTCTTGGCTTTCTTGAACCTTCTTTTCCGAATGAACGAATTTAATTCCTAGAAGAGTGGGAGACACATATTTTTCCTTTCCATAGTCTTGCTAGTTACAGTAACAATAATAACATTCAGCATCCATTAAGCGAGCCACATTACATGTTATGTGATCTTTACAAACACCCCGTTTTAACAAACGCAGAAGCTAAGACTTGCTGCAATCACTTCTTAAGTTTTTTTAATATATATATTTATTTGTTTATTTGAAAGAGCTAACAGAGGGAAAGAGAGAGATCTTCTTCCATCCTGTGGTTCACTCCCCAACTGCCCAGCCTTGGCCAGGCTGAAACCAGGAGGCTGGAACTCCAGCCGGGTCTCCCACGTGGGTGCAGGGGCCCAAGCACCTGGGCCATCTTCCACTGCTTTCCCAAGCACATTAGCAGGGAGCTGGGTCGGTGTGGAGCAGCCAGGATTCGAACTAGCACCCATATGGGATGCTGGAGTTGCAGGCTATGGCTTAAGGGGAGGCACATTAACACTGCCCCTTACTTTTTAGTTTTGTAATGAAAATCCTTAGTACTTTTCTATCGATGTGCATACTTTTGAACATTTAAAAACGCATTATAATACATGAATACATGGCTGTGTTAGGCCCTATGAGAAAACAGATGGCATGGTCAAAAGGGTCTAATGAGTAAGAACTTGCTAGAGTGTGTTTACAGAGCTATGGGCAGGGTTAAAGAACCCACAGTGTACAGCAGCGACAGGGAGGGCACAGAGTGCTTACTACTCCTGGTCTGAGGAAATAGTGTTAGTAGCTGGGGACGTTGGCGCCATGGAGAGGGCAGCCAACAGGACAAATGAAGCCACTGTCCTAAGTACATTGTTGATGGAGAGGAGATAATTCCTGGATTCTCTCATTTGCTCACGTCTGGGGCAAATTATCATCATCTTTTCATTTGCCAGACCTACCCTGAAGCCTGAGAGTAAGGAGATTGGAGTGGCACCGCTGTGCAAACACACAATACCACTGTCTTTTAAAAGCTTTTTTAAAGATTTATTTATTTGAAAGGCACAGTGATAGGGAGAGAAAGAGAGAGATAGAGAGAGACTGACCTTCCACCTGCTGGTTCAGTCCCCAAATGGCTGCAACAGGCAGGTCCGGTCTCCCACATGAGCGGCAGGCGCCCAGGTACTTGGGCCATCTTCCACTGTCTGTCTTCCCAGGTGCATCAGCAGGGAGCTGGATAAGAAGCATAACAGCTGGGACTCTAACTGGCACTCTAGTGTGTAAGTGGTGGCTTACACTGTGTCCTCTTTCTTTATTTTTAATTGGTCATTTCAAAGTTACAGACAGGACCACCAAACAATAGAAAAGCAGCTGATTAGTCAACATTTGGCTACTCAGGTTACCTATGGGGAGGGGCAGGGAGGAGGTTAGGATTAAAGCAGGGAACCTGATTATCAGCCAGTTGAAACTGGTCCATTTGCGATATTCTGTAGTTATCTTTCTAGTTCTGATTTCTGAGTAGGTTGGATAAACAGCTTAGTTTCAGCATGGTGAACTTAGCGTGAATAATGTTACTTTGATTTTTAGCCTGGTCTGTTACTTAAGCAGAATTTAAAACAATGGCCTCCTGTAAATTACGTTGAATAGACTTCTTAGCTCAAGCCTGATCCACTGAGGTGGCCTCCTGTTCTCTTGTGCTCTTCTCATTTGTTCTTTTGTAATAACACCAGATTCCCAAGCAGATATTTAACCACATCAGTAGAAGTGGGAGTAAGGGGAGAGGATCCAGTACAACTGTCTCTGGTCACTGTAGCTTAAACTGTAGCCTTCCTCCTATGAACCATAGAAGTAAATCCTGGGATGGGCAGGTGTTGTGGCACAGCAGGTTAAGCAGTTGCTTGGGATACCTGTATCCCATATCGGAGAGCTGGTTCAAGTTAGGGCATCTCCACTTCCAATCCAGTTTCCTGCTAATGCATCCTGAGAGGCAGCAGATGATGGTTCAAATGCTTGGGCCCCTACCACCCAAAAATGCTTGCAAGCAAAAGAAATATTTACGTTTGGGACTTTGACTAGGCCTAACAGGCATTCTAACAAGAACGCCAGTGTGGTCTGAATGCAGTACAGAAATTTCCCCTTCTAAGGGAGTTTTTGTTGTCTCTTTGGTGGAAGAAGAAGAAACATATCTCTGATGTGATAAAGACCTTGTCACCACAGTGCATACCTAGTTTATAGAATAAGGAATAGTTTGCATCCAAAGTGAAGTTGAATTACAGGATATCCTAACTTGTGGAGTTGAACAGTCTTTGTTTTCCTACTAAAGGACTGAAGTATTGCTGTTGTCTAAATGTTTATACTTACTCTACTGTAGTCAATGTGTATATAGTTCCACACACAGATGATTTGGCTAAAAGAGTATCATGGACTGAAATGTCCCTCTCTCGCCTTACCTCAATCTCCTCCCCTCCCCTCCAGCCTCACTGACTTCACTGTATTTCCTCCCACTACTGGGCCTCTTGTTTGTCGATCCCTCTGTCTTTTCTTTCTTCCTGATCCCCATCATTTAAATCCTTTATCTCTTTCTTCATCCTCCTTTTTCAGCAAGACCTTATCATTACAGTGGGACACATCAAACCCTGAATTTTCTATTTGTCTTGAAGTAACACCTTACCAGTAGGGACTCCATTTTAGAGCACCGGAGACTCCATCTTGAGACAGCACCACCCCCTCCTCCACTGTGAGATTCTGGTCTGAAACTATGATCTAAAACTCAGACAATAATTGCACTCATACAATGACAGTACACTGCATCCCACTTGGCAGAGCATAGAAACTCGTTAGCATCCTCAAGCTCAAGCTTAAAACACCAGGATTAATGTTAACATTGTACTTTGTCTATTGTCAAGATTGTAATTCATATTAGTTTCCCTTAGGCCTCCTCCTATTCCGCCCCTCACTGTGGTTTTTGCCATTAAAAACCCTGTTGCTTTGACCTCTGGAAATAAAGGACAAATTTTTTTTTTTAAAGATTTATATATTTATTTGAAAGTCAGACTTACACAGAGAGAGAAGAAGCAGAGAGAGGTTTTCCATCCAATGGCTCACTCCCCAACTGGCCGCAACAGCTGGAGCTGCGCCGATCAGAAGCCAGGAGCTTCTTCTGGGTCTCCCACATGGGTGCAGGGGCCCAAGGACCTGGGCCATCTTCTACTGCTTTCCCAGGCTATAGCAGAGAAGTGGATCAGAAGTGGAGCAGCCGGGTCTCAAACTGGAGCCCATATGGGATGCCAACACTTCAGACTAGGGCATTGCCAACACTTCAGACTAGGGCATTAACCCGCTGCACCACAGTGCGGACCCCAACAAAGGACAAATTTTATCAATGTACGGTGCTCCTCTGTTTGCACTTGCTCAGGCGCAGCAGTCTTTTCATAGAACTTTCTTAATTCTCCACACTTTACTAATTTTTAAAGATTTATTTATTTATTTGAAAGGCAGAATTACAGAGAGGCAGGGGCAGAGAGAGAGCAAGGCGCGCGGGGTGGGGGGTGGTCTTCCATCCCCTGGTTCACTTCCCAGATGGCCACAATAGCTGGCACTAGGCCGATTGCAAGTCAGGAGGCTGGAGCTTCGAAATTCCGGGTCTCCCACATAGGTGCAGGGGCCCAAGGACTTGGCCATGTTCCATTGCTTTCCCAGGCACATTAACAGGGAGCTGGATCGGAAGTGGAGCAGCCAGTACTGCAGGCAGTGGGTTTACCTGCTACGCCACAGCGCCAGCCCCTTTTCCTGTTTATTTTTAAGTCTGTAAGTTCCATGTGAACAGGGATTTTATGTTTTGTTCACTGCTATACCCCAGAAACTTGGAATGTGCCTGCGCACCGCTGAGTGAGTTCTATGGACTCTACTGCCTACCAAGCTGTGGACTGATCGGCTAGTTGACCGAATTAGGAGCAGAAGCCTTCATTAATGGATCCACAGTTACCAAGTTATTTAGCAATAAGTGCTTTTCTTGGCTCAGAATACAAAGATAAATAGAACAAGGCTCTTGACTCCTAGGAGCTCACAGTTCAGTGCGAGAAACAAAGTAAAAAAAAAAAAAAAAAAAAAAAAAACCAAAAACCAACAACCAGTTGTCACCGAGTTAAGGCTTTAGCACAAAGGAACGAGTGTTCCGGCTGCGTTAGGGAGGAAAGCCTTCTCCCCTTGGCTAGAGCAGAGAGCTTGACCGCCAGGACGCGCCCACGGATGACGTCAGCGAGCGGCCCTCCCGAGAGCACCCGCGCCGGCGGTTCGCGCGCTACCCAGAGGCGGAGCTTCGGCGTCATGGCTTCGTGCGGGGCTCAGCCTCCTAGCTCCGTGAGTGCTGCCATCCGTCCGTTGTCCGTTTTTTCTTGTCTATTTGGATTTTCTTTCTTCTCGTGTTCTTGCCGTGTCTCTCTGGCCTCGTCACCTCATTGGCCGCACCTGGGCCCGGGGTGAGGCGGTTCGCTCGCACGTGTCTGACTGGTTCTGCGAATAGTTTGATTCCTTCGTTGGTGCGGCGCTCTTCGTGAGCCGTAAACACGTTCTCCGTCCACGCCCTAGGGTTCTAGCCCAGGGGGAAACCCGGAGCTAGTTGATGGGGGAAGTGAGGATTCCTAGAGGGGACCGTTGATAGTCGATACCCAAGCGTGTGTAGGAGTTAGCGAGGAAAACAAAAATCGTGCTGAAGGGTTTCATGGTGGGAGCTGACACAGGATCAAAGCAAGAGATAGAGCAGGAGGAGGGGTCAGAGCTGACAGCCCTGCTGAGCGGCGACTTGAGCCTGGGCATCACTGAGTGTTGGCACTCAGGAGCGATTGGG